GGTAAGCAAAGTGAACAGCTGTTTGTTGGGCAATTAGTAAGGTTACTACACAACTTAAGGCAGAGAATATCCTTCAGCAGCTTCTACATCTTTTCCCCTAGAAATAACTCTTCTGCCCACACATCTCCTCCCCACCCCAGTCTGGTGATGACCATAAGTACTGAAGAATAACAAAATCTTCAGATGGCACTGGGTTGGGATACTCAACACACAGTACAAGCACAGTCTAGCACATTAATAGCACATGTTTTTTAATGTTTATGGCCCACATCTAACTACTGTTACCTTGTTATTTGTTTATGTCTATGTGACAGTTTACTCCTACGTGTATGTGCATAGATCTAAATAATGTATAAATATGTATGCATACATATTTACCATATATATTATAAAATTTTGTTAATCATGTACATATATGTTTCTGCATATATACAAGGGTACTTCAAAAAGTTCATGGATTCCTATTATCCTTTTAATTCTATCTTTCCCCGAAATTTTCGAAGTACCCTCATATGTGTAGGTGTGTATATATACATATACATATATAGTACATATATACACAAATGGAGAGGAAAGTTACAAAGTTTAAAAAGTTTAAACATTTGAAACTTCACAAATTAAACTGTAGGTACTATAATAGCAAAATAATGTTTTTATCTAAATATGAATTTAAATTGATGAAAATATAAGAAAAATTGTTTTTTATCTAGAGAAGCTATTTTTATTAAAGGAATTTAAGTATATATTGCCAACAATTGTGAATTTTCCTATAAACTTTATGTATTATTAAATATATTATCTATAATAAATTATTATATAATTATTCAACAAACATATCTTAGATTTACTTTACAATATAATTCTTGTAAACTTTATTTAAAATAGCATTTTTTTCTGACCATACCAGGAACATATATCCCTTTTAGAAAACCTTAGAAAATATATTTAAAAATTAATTAGAACATCTGTAATATTACAAGTTAGAAATAAACAGTGTAACTGTTTTTCTTTCTCTCAGTCTGCCCCTATATATTTTCTGTACAAATTGTTATCATACTATGTAGTCTTAAATTCTTTTTTTTCTTAAGATCACATAAGAATTTTCTCATGCCAGTAAATATTCTTTAAAAAAATGTTTTAATAGAAGCATTCTTTTTTATTATACGGATATATATTACAATTCTTGTTAACTAGTTTACACATACTGCTTACCAAATCGTTTTTCTGCCTCTATATAAGCTGTTATTAACATTTACATAAGAAGATTTTATGAAGACACATACATGTATATGAATACTTATCCAGTATTTTTCATAAAAAGTTTTTATTATTATGTAAATAACTTAAGACTATCTTCAAATATTTCAAAGGCTTCTTTACCTGTTTTACTTTTCATCAAATACCTCTTCAATGTATTTTTTCATACCATCTTCATTAAACAAGGAGTTTTTGGGTTAAAGTCATGTTTCTAAATATTAGCTGCTGGGGTGGGTGAAAATTGTATGATGCCCTAAGGTCTATGTAAGTGGGTAGGACTGCTAGGTTCCACCAAAAAAAAAAAAAAAGGGACTTAGGCTGAGATGATGAGAATATAATGAGGATTGGAACTATTTTATCTTTTCCCTCTGCTGTCAAGTAGAATGTCTTCCTTTTACAAGTATATCCAAATTACTTTTTAACTACCACCTAAATTACAGTCAGTTCTGCTATAAAATTTTTTTTGAGAATGTAAATATGCTCTAATTCGATTGATAGATGAGGGAAAATTTTGAGGATAATTCAAATGCTGTGTTTTCTTAGGCATGATTTCATCAATGAGAGACACTAGGTGAATGCAGGAAGCTGCACCCAGCTGAAACCAGTTGTGTAAAAATACACCAAACACACAAACACACACACACACCCTCTAACATTTACCAGCTACCCCCATTCACCGTGTGTGTTACAAGCCACAGCACTCACCTTTGGTCTTACAAATTTCTGTCCAATTACAGATAGTTCTCCTTCTACCACTTCACAATAACTCACTTGCTGTAAGCCTTCCAACATCCACTCTCACAAGCGAAAGTTCAGGACTTCTTCAAGGTAAGTGTTTTCTTTGTAGATTTCTTAATCATTTCACCTGTGTAAAACTGTGCCATCATTTTTATTAGATTTGAATCTTTTAAAAATGTCTTTGGCACATTCCACAATACACTGACACATGAGTTTCTGTGTGTTGTGCCCGGGCCTCATTTTTTCCCCCAAGCTGTGTAATTTTTATTATGTCATTTTGCATACCGAGGTGATTTTGTGGAACACATACGTCACATAATAGCACAACTGGCTATGTATGCATGATTCCTTGTGGAAAACCCTGTGCATGGGCAATGTAAGAGCTAGCTTACCATAATCTCAGAAGCATTTCTGATTATTTAGACTGAAAATTGTTTTTTTGGTGAGGTTGTTCTAAGATGGACTTCGAACACACTGGGACAAGGTTTGTATCTCTAAATGGCTGGTTCTTTTTTAGCCTTTGGATCCTTAGACGTTTGCCCTTAGCATCCAGACATTTGTGCAACTTCCCTCTCTCATCCCAGCCCCAGTCACTCTGCTGTTTTATCATGTTTTGTTTTTACATTTCAATATCTTGAAATTACGTTATATATATATCACTGTACATATTACATTAAATTATATGTTAATTGTTCCTGTTAGAATATATACTTCACATAGGCAGACATTTTATTTGCCTTGTTCACAGTTGTGTTATCACATATGGATCAACAAATATCTGTATTCTGTACATCACAGATTCCTTTTGATGGGTTTAACATGAAAACTTTATAACAGCCTTTTTTTTTTTTCTTTTTTTTTTTTTTGCATACGCCCATCTGGAATTATTTTGGGATTCTCCCACTATACAGGCATCAACCTAACATGCATTTTCAAAATACTATTAACTCCTTAGGAAATAATCAAACAAATTATTCAGAAACCAAACTTAGGCCTTAGTTTTTTATGCTACTTTCTAGTCAGTTTTTTTCCCCCTAAACTGCAATTATTTCACCTAAATTAATGTCTATGAATAGCTCCCTGAGTACAGCGGCTTGAGTGGCAACAGGGAAAAGGGCAGGGATGTGTTGATTCATGACAGACACTGATTGAACATGCAATTAGAGATGCAAGCTGGGTTAGGCAAGTCAGACCCGTCAAGTCACCTCACAGATTGTTACTAAATAAAATGGACTTGCTCACAACATTAAGCTGGAAATCAACTTTGAGTTCCAGCAAACATTTATCTAGTGCCCCCTAATGGCAATGTCCAGTTCTACATGCTGAAGGAATAAAATTTAAAAATATTGATTCTCTTCTAAATGGATAGAATTAGGTGAGAAAGGCATAAAGTGCCACACATAAACACAAGGTCAGGTTCTAAATGTAAGTGCCACACATAAACACAAGGTCAGGTTCTAAATGTGTTTTTTAAAGAAAAATATGTGAAAAAGTCACAGAGAAAAGAGTTCCAACTATTTAATGAGTGCCTTTTTTGTGGATTTGCTGGATTTAGTATGGGCTGAACTTGAAAGGGACGCTGTGCCGGTCACCTGCCTGCTGGTCACTCCCCACCGCTCCCCTTCTCTGCTTTGTATTTCAGTAAAGGGCTCTTCCCGGGCTCCAGCACCCACTGGCCTGTGGCTGGGTTTGGGCGGTGGGGAGCATTGGCAGGAGATGAGAGGACCAGGGCAAACTACCTCTCCTATTCTCTGCTGCTTGGGCAGCATTGTTGGTAGTGGTCACATCTCTTCCATATCTTCAGCTCCTGCCAGACAGAACCTCCATGACTTCAGCTTCAGCCTGGTAGTCCTGGCTCCAGGGCTCTGGTACTATCTGTGTCACTCCAGCCCAGGGAAGTTGGAAGCTTCCTGTTGAGGCGAATATCAGGGTTGTCTCACCTGCTCCTATTTGGCATCTGGGCTCTTCCATTACTCAAGCAAATCCCCTGTACTAAATACCCTCTGTTTTAAATATCTAGGGAGACTTTCTGTTTGCCTCACTGAACTTTGACTGACACAGGAGATAAACTGCTCCCAATTGGGAAGAGCAGCATAGACTCTGACCTGGAAAGGAATGAAGAATTGGAAGATTTAGCCTGTGGGAACGGAGAAGTTAAAGTCAACCGAAAAACAACTGGAATTCTCACACATAGTGAGACCGTGCTAATGGGGCAAGCCCATTCTGAGTCTGGCAGGTCTTTGGGAAGCCTAAGGTGGGTTTTGTGCTTGCACGAATGTTTCAACCAAACGTAAAGACCAAACAGTGCCCAAGGAGAGATACCCCTGATGTAGGCAAACCACACAGCTGAAAATATTTGGATTCAGTCCCCCTCTTTATTTTCCACTAACTTGAAAACAGCTATTTTGGACTCTTGGGAATGACTCACCCACTCAGAATACCAGAGCTGGAAAGCGTCTTGTTCCTCCAAATTACATGCACGAGAACACGAAAGCTTTTATATGTTAAAGTGATTTGCTCAAGGTCACAAAGCTGGCATAGCCAGAAGGAGAATCCCCCTCTCCTGGATTCCAGGTCCAAAGAAGTCTTCACTCTCTCATCTGAGCCTTTACCACTATCCAAGTTTGAATTCATTACATGCAGGTTTGGTTGTTTGGTAATCACAAGGTCATGAACAAATTTGAATGGGTTTGTTCTCCATTAATAATTTGTAATTTTGAACTAATAATAATGAGTATGTTACTCATTCCAAAGTAACCAGTTTGGAGTAATTTTTAAGTGAAATAATGTAATTTAATAACGTAACAGACATTGTATAGTCAACTGAAATGCAAGTAGAATTCAGGTAGTAGATTTCTACTTTGTTAGTAAGAAAAGTCTTGAGCTTCTGGTGTGTATTATATTCTCATGCAATTAGTTTTTTAAAAATTCTGTAGCTGCATTATTTCTATATCCAGACTGAACACCAAGGGTTTGGGATTAAATAAACACCTTTAGGCAAAGACTTTAGAGACATTATCTGTTTAATAAATATGATTGTAAAAGCAATAAACAAGAGCAATTATACATTACACTACATAGTATTTAACAAAAAATACATCAAAAAAGTCATTTTAAAATTAGAAGTAGTCCCAATACTATAAGAAAACTTTCATTTTTTTTTTTAAATTGGCTTCCTATAAAAATAAGTTGGCAAATGAGGGATTTCAATGCTCAGTTGGAATCCTGGAAAACACAGAACAGCTGCCAAGCACCCCATTGCTCTCAAAGTTGCTATTTGGAACTTCTGAAAAAAAGCAAAACGAATCTCTGCATTTTGGACAGTGAATCCAATTAAAAATAAGGCAAGGGAGAAAATGTTGGTTGGGTAGTTCAAAGTAGAGCATGCACAGTTTGCCTTCTGGGATTTTGAGAAATGTTGCAGTGTCATATTTTTAGCTTGCCCTGAATCTTACATTCCACATCCATCCCTCCACACATACTCCTCTGGCTTTAAGCCCACCAAACTCTGCATTGTGTTTGCACCTGCTAGTAGCGAGTAGGTAGGCACTTGGGACCCTCCCATTTGTAGGCTCTCATTACTACCTCCTCTTTCGGATTCAGCTGGAATGACCTAGTACAGTGGTTCTCAATCTTTAGTGTGCATCACGATCACCTGGAGGGCTTGTTAAAACAGATTGCCAGGCCCACTATCACCCAGCAATAGAGAACACTGCTCCTCATCCCCTAGAGCTTCTGATTCAGTAGATCTGGGGTATGGATCCAGAATTTGCACTTCTAACAAGTCCGAGGTGATGCTAATACTGCAGGTCCAGGTACCACACTTTGAGAACGACTGGCCAAGGTCATAGGAACAATGAGGTCCCCTCTGAGCAGCACCTTGCCTCACTAATCACCTACAGGTGGGAGGGAGCTTTGAGGAGAGGCACATGAGGACATTGGAGATGCTGAATCTGTAGCTGGCCATCTTCAGTCACGTTCCAAAATGCCAGGCATCTCATGTCCACCTTTATTTTTAATTAGGACTTACAGCCCATTCTTTCCTGTGTCTTTTCATTCATTTATTTCTTCAACAAGTCAGTTTCATCATACTACCCTAGGCAAGGCACTGTGCTAGATTAAGACTGTTATTTCCGTTTTCATAATTTTCTAATTAAAATGAATTGAACTGCAACTCTGAGGACTCCCTGTGCTGGTCTGAGTGAGCCTCTTTTGGTTTCCAAACACTTTGTCTTCCAGATTAAACTTGGGAGGCTCCAACTGAAGAGGATCAATGAGGATGTTTCCTATGAGATAGGAAGCCTGGCAGGTTGGGGATCAATAGAGTTCTACAGATAGGTGGCTGCCCCAGGCATAATCTGTTTCCCAGATTTATATCAGGCATCCTTGACCATAAAATCTTCTGCTTGATTAACTTCTGACAGCAGCTTTGCTTCTCTTTCCCTGCCTGAGCTACATAAGGGCAGGATCATCAGGATTTTTAGGGGACCCCCATTATCACCAGCGGCTCTGTTATACCCTGTTGCTGGCTTGGGACACAGCCAAGAAGGAGGTTGAGCTTTCTGAGTGGTTTTTCAGAACTGCTTCATCCTATATATTAGAGTGGGCTTTGCCCAGTCCATAATACTGAAAGGGATTCTGCTGGACAGGCTTTTGTTTCCTTCTTTCTCTGGGCCTTCTTTCATGATCGCCCTGGGAAAAGTGGGGTTTCTTCATGCTTTGAGTCAATACACTGCAGTAGTCAGCTAACTCCTCCCCTTTATATTGACTTATTTTTCCTTTTCTGGTACTGTAATACTCAGAGATCAGAGAGCGCACATGGAAAATCACTGGGGTTATCCTAAACAATCAAACTCTCATCCTAATGTAAGACAAGATCTCTGTATATTCTCAGACTTTTTGACCTCTTAACAGTAAGTCCATTAACCTGCTTCTCCTTCTGATTAAAATCAGTTTTATTTCACAAATATTTTTTTTCTACTGTGAGAGAGAAAATATTGGGTAACAGCAACCATCACAGGAGAAAATTGCCCAGCAACATAGTCACAAGTTCAAAACATTTCTCACAAGAATCTTCTGGAATCTGACCTCACGAGATTTTTTGTTTCATTGTATGCTTTCTTTTCCCAAGTACATGGCCAGGTTTAAGTTGTGCTGCACATAGCAACTCTTTTACACACAGTATATGTTTCCAGGTAGGAAAGGGGAGGATATTTGGAAATGGTAGGTTCTAGAGGAGGAGACAAAGGATACATGAAACTGAACCCTGCTGGGCAGGAGGCAGCTAGGTCAGTGTGCACGGAAGCTGGCATGCTTGGGATGTACACAACTGACAGAGAGGTGAGAAACTTGTGGATGGTGGCGGGGGGGGAGATTGGCAGAGGCTAGGCTAGTAGTAAGGAAACGTCATGGTTAATGTCCAAAATCTAGCAACATGATTTGGAGAAAAAGTTGGAGTAGTTTATGGATAACTCAGAGATTGGATGGAAGAGATTCAAAGACATCGACAGATCATGGCCACACAGAGCAAAAAATATGGGAAGGCCAGACTATGGGTAACTCATGGGATCCCATTTGCTACATAAATTGGGGCAGGAGTAGAGAAAGCTGCAAAGGGAAGCAGTCATGGGGGAAGAGATGAACAGGATACAAAGGTCCATTTCTGGCATTCTTTGCCTCCCTGACCCGCTTCCTTCCCTACTCTACCTGCATACATAGATCTTCAACTGGCGTCTTTGTCCCTGTGCCACAGAGAATGGAGAAAGCAGCCTTGTGGCCACTGCTGACCCGCAGAGCTACCAAAGGTAACTTAGAAGGGAAAATGACAAAAAGGAAAAGTGGAACAGAGAAACAGCTCAGAGTTTCAAACTCCTGTGCATGTCTTTGTGTCTTATGAAAAGGGCTAGTGTGGCTAATCCACCCATCAGCCTGTAGTGCTAAAATAGCTGTTAAGTCTAGCGCCAAGAATATTTCCAAAAATACATGCAGATTTCCTTGGCCTATATATGTTATGAATTTTCTACAAACACGACCGATCAGAAAAAAGAGAAGAAAGGGAGAGGGGAGTGTTTTCCATTAAAATAGAGCACCTGTACACTGCCCCTCCAAACACGTTTTCAAGGTATTGTCCACATGCACAGGCTTAAAGCTAAAAACCCTTGTTGTCTGTGTCTGAAGAATTAAAAAGTCCCGATGCAATGAGTGTTTGTTTATTTGTTTGTTTGGATTTTGATTGTTTTTATTTTATTTTTTGTTTTTGTTTTTTTACTGGCGTCCTCCATTCAAACATTTACATAGGTAGGGATTTCTTTTGTGCTTTGATTCTCAGCAACTATGGAAATACTTCCTGGCAAAATAGGAAACAGAACAACAAAGGAAAGAAAAAAACATAAAGTTAGTGGTCATGAAGGATGATGCACTTGACAAGAGCGAAATTCTTTCCTGATCAGCAGGTCGCCTGTAGCCTTTGGGGGTTTTCCTTAAATTGCAAATTGTGCCCCAGCAGATCCCCGCTTTGGCGTTGAAGGTGGTGTGGCGTGTCTTGCTCTTTGCAATCGGAGAGATGAGTCACCAGGTTGAGTAGAAGGGGAGGGAGGGGAGGGTAAAGCTACTCTCCTAAGAGAAAACGTGTAACACTTATTTATTTAAAAAACACTGGAAATGGAAAGGTGTCAGACTTTGCAATGTGCTGCAAGATGTTCCTGGTGAAGGAGGAATTGCTACTTTAACAAAGAAAACAGTGGCTGTGCTTCATACCCTGTGGAAACGGGGACAGGGGACCCAATGACCTCAAAAAATGTCCCTCGATTCTTTAGAAGTGAATAGACAGGGTGAATGCTTCTCTGGACATAAAGACAGAAAAGCCTTTTTTTTCTTTTTAACTTGAAGCAATTACACACTTATCACCCTGTCTCCCCAAATATAAGAAAGTACACTGTGATCACTGACACCAGATGTGGCTGTAGTTATCATCATTATGTGTGATACCAGCCAGTCACTGCATTTAAATTTCCCCTAATACAGCCACAGACCTTTTCCAAATCCATTGAAAGAGAGGGTTATGTTATCATTTACATACTCATTTTTTCCCCAAGAATCAGATTTAAAATTTTCCGTAAAGGCCTTCTAGGTGGTTTGCCATTACCACATTAAAGTGAAGCATGAATGATTATATAATAATTTATCCACCATAGTCAGCAATTCAGGGTCTAGGTGTGAACATTTACAGCTTCAGCTCCTGATGTCAACAGACAGGAGGGACCAAGGAGAGAAATGGATCAGCACTAGTGACTCCATGAGTTTGTCTAACATTCTGGGAAATTTCTTCTGCAATAAATAGGAGGACTTAGCAATTGAACTTCAGACTCTATACCTAGCTGTTGGATTCCCATGCTAACGTCACAGGCAGAGAGCACTCTACTGAAATATTAGGAAGTCTATTTTAAGACTTCTGTGAAGGGCCAATCAAAAAAGAAGAAGAAATCTGCTAATCTACTCTGTAATAGTCTAGCCCTCCAGTGGTCTCAGGATGCCCCAATGCCCGGATGTTCTGCAAACTTATTATCTCTTTTTCTCAAGTTCTCAGGTTCCATATTTCCTGGGGAATAGTTTCTAGATTACTGCTAGATTTAAAAATTTTCCCAGTGATCATTCTAGTCCCTCTCATTATGTCATTCCTCTGCTAGTTTTATGGAGCAGTCTGCCCTCCCTAGAGCTGTCTCTAGTCGGGGCTGGCATGTTTTGTTATGATCAAAACACACCCTGGTAGGCTGAAATACTGCTCAGCCCTCCAGCCTACCAGCCCCAGCCCCTGAGACATCTCCTTCTTGGATCTTGTTAGAGCAAATGCTTTGCTCCTTTGCCCATAAACCTTTGTAGCCCAATGTTTTAGCAAGGGTTTTTGTAAGTGGAGGAATAAACTAATGAGAGAAAAAAACTAGATAGAAGCAAGAAGGCTTTTTTTTTTCTTCCCCATTCTAATGAAAGGAAGAGGGGAAAAAAGTATGTTAACTGTTTCTCTCAGGGGTGTTAGAGGAGAAGAGAGTGGTTATGTCAAGTCAGAAAGGGGTTAGAGGGAAAGTCAGCCATTGACTACTTAGGCTGACAGCTACTGGGAATCATTTACCTATGAGCTGTGATTCCACCTTCTCATCTATAAGCTGGCCAGGCCTCCTTAGTTCAGTCTGAGGGATATTGGGCCTGCTTTCAGTGTGACTGACTGGACTGATCATCTCTTGTTCTTTTTCATTCTGCATCTGGGCATAAACATTAATCCCCGGGATCTTCCTAAAACATTAACAGAAACCATCACTGCTCTGCATGGGTGACGTGCATCACTGCGACACATGCATCTGAACCTGTCAGGAAGAGGGAAGCGGGAGGGGAGGTATGGACAGAGGGACACGCACCTTTTAAACTTGTAGATGACGAACACGGCCAGCCCCACAAACACCACTGAGAGCAGCATCAGCATGGCGGATCCACTGTGGGTTGGAGTAAGGTCCACCAGTGGGGCTGGGGAGAGAACAAGACATGGTTGTGAGCAGAGGCTTGGGCAGGTGGACTCCGTGAAAGGCTTCCACAGTTCACACACAGGCCTGGTGAGTCCCTAAAAACCAAGTGGGACGTGTATACACGATGCTCACCACGTGAATGCATCTGAGCCTGTCCCTGCCCCCAGAATGCTGCAGCTGGCCTGTTCAAGCACTACAGTGGAGCAGGGAGAAGCACAGACCCTGCAGCCAACTGCTTGGATTCAAACCCTACTCTACTACTTGCTGGCTGTGTGATCCTGGATAAGCTGGATAAGTTACTTGACTTTAATGTGCCTTATATGGTAAGATAAGAATAACAGTACAGACCTCAGCTAGTTGTTGTGAGGATTGAATGACAGTGTATCTAATTATTAGGCCCTCTTTAAGTACTAGCTTTTATTTGCACTGCTGCTATTATTAGTAGTATTAATCAATAGTTATAATAATACAATACTAATTATTATCAAATTTTCCTATACTCTACATGCAAGCTTTTCCTACTAAGCAAAGCAGATAACCAGTAAAACCACCAACAGACTACTTTTGTGAATTACGTAATCCTTCTTACCCCGGCAGTTGTGAGAGAAAGAATTGGAAAGTAATGTAGCTTGCTTACATTTTTGCACACAGAAAGTTGACAGCTAAGTGAATATTTTCCAAGAGCAGTTGCTCTGATACTGGGGGAGGGGTTTGTAACCCGGTTGTCTCTGCAGCTTCCTAAAGCCCTGACAGCCCTCACCGAGCAGCTCCAGCCTCCCAAATGCAGTGATGTCTCCTTTTGGACAAAACAGAATCCTCTGCATTCATAAAAGAGTCTCCCTCCCTGAGCACCCTTAAAGTGAAGTTTTGGAAAACATCTTTCTTCACCTCAACTCTTCCTGCATCTCAGGGTCAAACCTGTTGCACTTGTAATGACTTTGTTTGCAGTTGATTTCTACCCACTCAAAAGCTGACATTTTGCAAATATAGCATAGCTCAAGCATAAAAGATGAGCCATATGCACCCCACGGACATCTGTATGCTGACCTTTACCTTCCATCAATTTAAGCAAAGCCCGAGACCCAGAAATTCAGGTGACCTTTAAACACCATTTTCTGTAGCTTTTCTCTGTCGAGAGCTGAGAAGGCAACATTCTGGTCAGCCAGGTAAAAAAGGTCAAGAATTAGTGACTGTAGTACTGATGGTCCCAGACAAGACTCTGCGCTGCTTCTGCTCTGTCTGGTTTTTGTAGGATTACATCCCAGCCTCTCAGTAACCACTACTAGAAAGCATATTTCATATAACCACGTGGTTTTGGTGAAAAACAAAAGCCAAGTTTTTTTCTAAGAAAATAGGCTTAGTCTGTTTAGTAGGTTCAGTTTTTAGGAGGCTCTGAACATAACAAACTTCCCTCCCCAACTATTCTTTCCTGTATAAGTCAAACGGCACTTGAAGGTGTGAAGTAGGGGTGTGAGTCTGTGAGTAGGAAGGATGGGTGTGGTCGCACTGCACTCCAACACCCAAGGCACACTTGCTCTCCGTTAGAAATTAGAAAGTCACCCTCTCAGTGCTATCAGCAAGGAAGTCTGGAAATAATTCACGACTCACATTGTAAATGGTAGGATATCATCAGAAAAGAAGACCTTCCATTTGTCATAGACATTATCACAACTGGTTTTCACAAGTGAAAGGCAGGGACTGTGATCCTCAGTAAGCAGGTAGAAACAGTCAAGTGCTCATTGTGTAATGTCATTCCCAAAACTTAGAACTTGTAAAGGGAAGAATTGAGACTTGAACCCGAGTCATTTCACACACACACATTTTCAGTACATTCAGCCCTGTGCTAATTTCAGTGGGAGATATTAGAAATTTAAAAAGATGTTTCTGAGGATGAGGATTAGGATTAAGACTATAGCACTAGAAGAAAATTAACGTGACACAAGTTAAAATGTTATTAAGTTTTGAAAGGAGCAGTTAGAATCATAGATCCTACACTCAGCCTTAGATAACATACAAAGGATCTTCAAAAAGTTCATAAAAAGATATATATTTTCTTTCAATTCCACTTTTCCATGAACTTTTTGAAGTACTCTTGTATCATGCTCTTTTACCTGCCCGAATCCTGCCAACTGGGCCAATTGCCAAGCTAGGGCTGAGTCTGGAGCTCACAGACCCCTCAACCCCATTCACAGACTGGGTCACAAACCCTTCACATGCCAGGCTGGGTCCCCAGACCCCTCACATGCCAGGCTGGGTCACTAGACCCCTCATACACCAGGCTGGGTCACCAGACCCCTCACACACAGGTCTATGAGCTAGGTAACCAGCTAACAGGTCCTTGGAAGCCATAGGTTCGAGAGCATGGCTGTGTGCGTGGCAGCCATCGGAGGCAGACACCGGCCAGGTTGCGGCACTGTGCATGTGCACTAACTCTACCAACACACACAAAGTTTGCTTACAAAGAATGTGCTGCACTGCCCCCAACCGTCCCTAAGGTGAGGGGGCCTGATTAAATTATTCTATTTTCCCAACACCTTGTATATATGCACACATATATATGTGTGCATGTGTGTGTGTATACATTTATACATATATATAATATATATATGCAGAGAGAGAGAGAGAGAAGATAGAGAAATGAAGACTCATGGACCCACCACCCAGTTTCAACAACCAACAACCAACAACCAACAGCCAATCTTATTTTACCTCTACTCACATTCAACCTTTAACCACTTTTTGAAACAAATCTCAGATATCACGTAATTTCATCATCTGTAACTAAAAGATCTCTTTCTCTCTCTCTGTCAACATTATCATAATACCATCATCACATTAAGGAAATAATAATAGGAAGATATTTTAAAGGCAATCTTCTAATGCAAACCCTGGATTTAACAGGGAACAAATGGAGGCCTGGAGAGGGGCCACAGAAGGTTAGGATGGTTAGAGGCAGGAATAAAGCTAAACTTCTCACTCTAGCTGAACACTCTTTCAGCATAACCAAAGTATCAGTGTTATGGAGCAACTGCAAGAACACTGAGCTTGCTTGAAAGCGTTGGCATTTGAAATAAATGAAAAACTACAAGAGGAAATTACTCTGGCCATGCTCTCGGTAGCACAGCAAGCAAACACATGCACACGCACGCACATGCACACACATGCACATAAATGAACTCTATTTCTCTTCTCTTCCCTTCCTTCTCTTAGCTTTCTCCCCATCACAAGGTTAAATCTTTCAGTGCTAAATTATTCACACTCAAATCATCATTCCATAAACAAGCAGCATTAACACTATTAAGTAATTATCATATTATTTTGGGAAAATAAGCTGCAGTATCCCGAGTTCTAAAACCAGTGATATACAGTCCCCTTCCCTAACCCTGCATGGTTTAGTCACTTCGCAGAGGCAGGCAAACAGGCAGCAGCAGGTAGCAGCTGGCAGCGTGGCGAGAAATTGAGTACCACTGCCCTCTGTGTTCTGTGGGTAGCTTCTGCTTGCTGATCTGTGCCTGAATATAAACAGGTCTATTATTGCTCCACACAACAGCAGCTGCATATCTTAGTTCACCCAACACTTAGGTGCATTTGTGCATGTTTTGCTGAGGAATGGAAACTTGTGATAAATGGGCTTTAGCTTGTTGTGTGGAATTAGCATAAATTAATCCCTCTCCATTTGCAGTTTAAACAAGGTAAATGTGTGGGGAAAAGTGCTGAGCAGTTTTTTGCCATTATTCTTGCACAGAGTAAAACATGTATACAAGCAGTATTCTAAGTGACTCAACGTTTTTAAGCCTGGGTGCTGGCACATGTTGTTTCTAAAATCCTGTGAGGAACCTGCAAATAAATTGAATATTTTATTCATGGGGACGTGGGTTGGTTATATCAATAGGAATGCTTACGGTGATAGCAATCTTGTTGTGAAAAGTGATTAACATGCAGTAAGTGCTAAGTAAATGTGTGTTTGAGAGTAAACTTAAAACTCCATTTGGCGTTAAGTAATGGATATGGTTCCTTTTTAGCCCCATAAGGGGCTAAGTAATTCATACTGAATCTCAGTTTCCTCATCTGCAAAATGGAGATAAAACAAGGGTTTGGTTTATTTAGAATGTTGTGAGAATAAAATGAGACAGAATTGACAAAGCACTGTAATAGGACCTGGCACACTGCACATGCCTAATATTTTTAGCATTATCATCTTACTTCTATCACATTTCTGAAAGTGTATTCTATAGGGAAAAAGTCCTAAAAGATGACAAAAGAGTTCCATGATCAAATAATATTGGAAAAGGGTGCATGCAGTGTTCCCTATCTGGAGATTCACGTTGCACATCAGTACATTAAAGGTTCATAACAGTCCTGCAGGAAAGAAACTAACTAAACTTTACCCTAGTCTTTCTCACACTCATTTGACCACACGGTCTTTACAGAGCGAGGTCCCACACAACACCCTCTAGGAAATGCCTCTACTGGGCACCGCTTTGCCCCTTGCTTCAACTTTGCCCCTTTGCTTGGCTCGAAAGTCAATGTCATGGTAGTGTCACCCAAGGAAGCCATATAGAATGCCCTTATTGCTGTCTTGTGCTCAATCTCATTCCATCAAAGGGACTTTCTTTGAGAATGTCTGCCTACAGTATGACCCTGAAACTTTGAACTCTAACTACATTTCTAATCCAAAAGTTAGTGCTGTCAGGAAGTTGAAGAAGCAAGTTCCCCATACTTGACTTTCTTTTCTCATTTCCTGCCTTCAAAGTAGACCCGAGTCAGGCTTTAGTTGTATGCCTTGACTATCACAAAAATCCATGTGGTCTAAAATCTTTTTTCAGAAATTAAAATGATGTGGGAATAGCACACAGAAAGCTTTTCTGGAGTGCAGAAGGGCCAGAAAGGTTTCCATTCCAGAGCACCCTCACTGGCCAGTGGGCCTTCCCTCCAGTTCAAATCCAAACTCAATCATGAGAGTCTTAAGGATTGCTACACCTTAGTAGAATAAAGCCATGA